TCAGGATTTCATTTCTCCTTGTGGTAGGGCAATACTCCACTGTATGTATGTACTGCATGTTGTTTTTCCATTCATCACCTAAATGATGACCATTTAAGTTGTTTCTACCTTTTGGCTGTTGTTAAAAGTAATGTAATGAATATACTGGTTTCCAAGTATCCACTTATATTCTGTTTTCAGTTACTCAGGGTGTACACCGAGGAGTGTAATTTTGGTAATTCTGCAGTTAACTTCATGAGGAACAGCCCAATTGTTTTCCACAGCAACTGTATTATTGTACAATCCCACCAGCAGTGGATGAGGGTACCTACTATTTCTTTTACAAAACACATTGTTCCTACTCTGCTTTCTAACTAATGGCCCATAGTCAAAAGCAGTACAACACTGACCCATTTAATCTCATACAACATATAAACTCATCCCCAGTTACTGCTTATGATCTATATCCCCTGGCACAGAGACTCTGTGGCCCAACCTCTCTCTTCCTCCATTACACACATCCCCAGTCTTTACTCTTTACTCAGGATCTTCCCCTTGAGCAGTTTTCCCTGCCTTTAAATCCAAGCTGGTAGCACAAATCTACCTCCAACACAACACTGTTCTAACTACACAACCCTTGCTGTTTTTCTTCTCTTCCAACACTAGCAGGATACCAAAAGTGATGGCTGTAAATGATCATTTGCTTTCACTCAAACTGCATTTATTTTTCTACAAGTGAATATGAGTGTCTTTATATGTTTGTTAGATTTGGTACTTAGATTTGCTCTTCATAAATCATGTATTTATTTTATTTGTCCATATTGTCCTAAGATCATTTTATCCACATTAAAAAAAGAAAGAAACAATTCTGTTGGATTCTAATTAAAATTGCATAACAATAATAAATTAATTTTGTCCATGTTAGCATTTTTTCTTTAAAACTTAAAAAGTTTTTACAAATTATTAAAACATGCTCCTCATACATACTACAAACATTTCCCAATATTTGAAGACTACTGTTTTTTTTTTTTTTTAATTACTCTTAAGACACTTTCGTTTCCATTGAAACTTTAATTCATTCAGTTTATTTGGGCTGCTAACCTAAGGTCAAGGAGATCTGGTAGCGTAATGGTTACGAATCGGGCTGCGAACCTTAAGGTCAGCGGTTCGAAACTACCAGCCGCTCCGCGGGAGAAAGATGAGGCTTTCTACTCCCGTAAAGATTTACACCCTCGGAAACCCTGTACAGGGTCGCTATGGGTCGGAACCGACTCGATGGCACTTAACAACAACAACAACCTTAAGGTCAGCAGTTCAAAACTACCAATGGTTCCATGGGAGAAAGATGAGGCTTTCTGACCCTGTAAAGATTTACAGCCTCTGAAACCCTATGCAAGGTTGTTATGGGTTGGTACCGACTCGAAGGCACTAAACAACAACAACAACATTCAAATACTTAATTTTATTTCAACTTCTGAAAGTCTACTTGGATTCTCATTGAAAATTCATGGAAATTTTGAAAACTAATTTCAGAAAAATTAACATTTTTATAATAGTAAGACTTCCCTGCAAAGAGCACAGTATGTCTTTCCATGTGCTCATTATCTCATTTAATGCTCAGCAGTAAGATTTCAAAGTTTTCATCATTTGCATCTTTCCATTTAAAAATGTAATTCAATTAACTTTTGCAACTTAAGGAATGGATAGTTTCCAAGTTGAAAACACTATTGGTATTTAAGTATCTGGACTCCTGGTGTGACACTGTAGGACTGGACTGAGAACCACAAGGTAAGTGATTCAAACCCAGCAGCTGCTCCTTGGAAATGCTATACAACATCCTTATGAATTGGAACCAATCGAAGTCACTTGACAACAACATACAAGATTTATTGTTTGATCTCATTTTTATTGAATTTGCAAATGTTTTCTTTTTCCGTTGAAAGAGTTCTTTAATTTTATATAGTAAAATATTCTTAAGTATCTTTTATCATTTCCCGGTCTGTGGTATTCTTTAAAACATTAAAAGCAATAGTCTGCTGTATAATTTAATATCAGATATACTATCTGGAATTTTCTTTTAAGATTTTTAAATTATTTTATTGCTTATATTGAAGTCTTTAATCCATCTGGAATTCATTTTTAATATGGGTTAAAATTTGGGTCCAATTTTATTTTTACCCTGATGGATGATTAGTTATGTCAGCACCATTTATTAAATAATCCAACCTTTCCCCAATGATTTCAACCAACACTTTTATCATATATTAAATTCTTATGTATATTAGAACCTATCACAGGATTCTCTATTCTAGCCTTCTGATCATTTTATCTCTCACTATACCAATTCCATGTTGGTTTAATTTCAGTGGTTTTATATTATGTTATGGTAACTTGTAACTTAAGTTCCCCTCCACTGGTCTTCATTTTCATACTTCTGAAGGCTATTCTCAGGCATTTTCTATCCATACAAACTCTAAGATCATTTTATCCATATTAAAAAAGAAGAAAGAAAGAAGCAACCCTGTTTGATTCTAATTTAAATTGCATGACATTAAAAAATTAATTTGGGGATAATTGAGATGTTTATGCTACGGAAAATCTTAAGCAAAAACATAATAAATCTTTAAAGTTTTTCAGATCTTGTTTTATGTGCTTTGCAATATTTTAAAGTTTTTCTCATTCACATCCCTTCAATTTTCTTTTATGATTAAAGTATTTAAAACTTAGGAAACTTTATATTTTTATGACTAGGTTTAAAATTACATGTGTGTGCATTAGTGTACATATATGTGAGTGGAAAATGAAGAGAAACATAATGATTTGGTATGAACTACTGCTGAATTCTAGAAGTCCTGGAAGATGTAACAATGAGGCTAACCTCACTGAAAAGTTTAAGGTTTAGGAAACTTTGTTTTATGCATAAAATGAGACTGTTTCTCCACTTACTAAAATTTCTAATCCTTGCAATCCTGTCTGCAATGGTTGTTAAAAATGCAAAGCTACTATATCTAAAATTGAAGGTATCATTTATAATGAAATGTTTTCCTAGACTTCTAGGATCAAAATCTCTGGCTGAAGTAATTGTGGAGTATCCACTGAAATCTTACTTGACTAGAAAGTTTTGATGCTTCCATAGCATGTTCAAAGTCTGGTCTTCCGATTACAGCAGACTCTTTATTCATTTCTCCAAGTGCTTTCTTGTATTCTGCCTACAATAAAGAAAGAAAAGAATGCTGAATATTTCTACTTTCCAAAGAAAAACTGCACTGACATTAGCTATAGTAAATCGTAACAGATTCTCAGTACCACCACTCCCCCAAAAGATTCCTTACATCACAACAAATGCTACACAAATACTGACTACTAAAGGTAGAAATTATAGTGTGGTTATTTGAAATAATGGAACCTTTTGTAATAAAAGAATTACTAATTTTGAGTCAGTGTACCTAGTCATTACCATTCCTATATTTATACATAAACACTGGGGGGAAGGGGATGCGGGAAGTGTCTGGGTAACTGAGACCTAGCATTCTGTATATAAATAGCTTTCATGAATGTATTTATTCTCAGGAACTGAACTGACCATGTTTGGTAAATCTGCAGTTCAATTTAGTAAAATAATTATTTATTTTAAAGTGAGTTTGGCTTATGTGGTTCAACTGGTTCAAGTTAGATCTTCATTTTAAATAGGGCTTTTGTTATGTTTAAGGATCCTTGGCAGCACTGTAGGATAAGCACTGGGCTGCTCATCACAAGGTTGGCAGTTCAAACCCACCAGCTGCTGGAGGAAATTAGGCTCAGGAATTCTACCCAGGATCACTATGAGTTTGAATTGACTCAATGGCAGTGGGTTAGGGTTGGCTATGTTTATTTAAGCTGTCGTTAGACACCATCCAGTCAATTCTGACTAAAGGTGAACTCAATGAAGAACTACCCCATAGGGTTTTGTAGGTTGTAATCTGTATATGGAGGGTCAGTGAAAAAGAGGAAGACTCCTATCGAGATGGATTGGCAGCAGCAAGGGGCTCATGCATAGCAACAACTGTGAGATTACTGTAGGACTGTGCAGTGTTTCATTCTGTTGTACATAAGGTCAGTAGGAGTGGGTGCTGACTCGATGGCATCTAGCAACAGCAATCTTTATGTGAACAGATCACTAGGTCTTTCTCCTGCATAGCCACTGGGTGGGTCCAAATCACCCACCTTTCAGATAACAACAAAACAATTAATTGCTGTCCCACCATAGTTCCTTTATGCTTAACCTAGTTATTAACTAACAAGGGTGCCTTCGAAGAAATAAGAGTGAGCCATTATATGAAGGGAGTGTATTAGGTAAGTATTAGGGAAAGTAAATTTGTACGAGTAACAGCAGCAACATGGAAACGAAGTTCTGTGGCACAGGGAGAGGTGAGAGATAATACGAGGACAAATGAAAGACATCATCTTATATCTCAAGTACACTTATTTCTTTAAAAGTATAACACTAACCATGGTCTAATTGAGTTTGGGCAGTTTTGACAAGAATACTTTACATAGCCAAATAGATCATTCAGAGAAATAAAAAAAGAAGTCATTAACTTAGATTGATTAGCCATATTAATTAAATAACACCCAATTACCAAACCCATGGTTTACCTCCTGCAAAAGAAATATTTTCTATTCAAAAACAGGAAAGAGAAATTACATTGCTTATGATCTTGGATATCTGCGTTGCCATCTTGATATCTGGTCTGTCAAGTTCCGCGTTATATGTGTGTGTGTCCTGCACATCTTTTCGATAAGAAATCTGACCAAAGACACAGTTTTGATTTAAAACAAGAAAAAAGACAGATGAGTATTTGAAAATAGCTACTAACCACAGCATTCATAAAATGCTTTATCCTTGCCTTAATCAAACATTATAGAGCACAATGGCCTTATATAATTTTTTTAAGTTTATTGGCCAATTTGTACATTATATTTTATTAAGTTTATTAAGTTTATATACACAGCATTATTTGGATAGATCAGTTAACTCTCTGTATTGCACCTAAGATTGGCCAACATTATTACATTTTAACTGAATTTATGCAACATAAGACCAAGACCTCAGCGTAAACAATCTTAAAGGTAACACGTTACCTTTAAATGCACATCTTTTACTTATTTATTTATTTTAAATGTTTTATTGTGAATTACATGGGAGAACATTAGTTTTACATTCATCATATTGTATATCATTTCATTGCCATGGTTACAATCCCCTCCAAGCATCATCAACCAACCAAAGGGTATACCCTGCAAGTCTGCCCCCCGGTCATCAGCACACCGCCCCTCTCCCTCTCTGTGTCTAAAGTCCCAAGCTGCTCCATAAATGCACATCTTTTTATAAGTGTGTATACCACATACAGAATATCTTCATCAAGGACTTTCACTTTGTCATCATGCATTCTCCATCCCCACTAAATGTACAAGCAGATCCAGCACACATATGGAAAACTGCTTCCTGAAAAAGTGAGTGAAACCCTGTAACACTCCATCTCTCATCCTCTCAAGCACATCCTCCGTTTTTCAACTGGACTCTGAAAATATCCACATATTTGACATCCTGCCATGGGTACTGATAGTTTCATCTCCTAATAGATACAATTGGAAGGACTTGAGTCTCCAAAAATAAAATAAATTACATTAAGAAACATTCTTCTTTTGAACGCGTGTTGGCATCATTAAGTCAAAGTGTGGTAAACAGAGACTTAAAGAGAAAATATATATAATACTTGCCAAATTACTTTAGATCACAGAGGCCATTTAGATTAACTTGAGTGGCAAATGGAAGTAGAGACCAGAAGCAAATTAGTAAAACAGTGGGCAACGTTCAGTGGGCAACATCTCACCAGTCTATCCACTTCTTTCCTATTATTAAGATTACTCATGGACTTACACAGTATCTAGCTATTTTCTAGACGCATTTTATTTGGCAGTACCACCAGGGGCTTGGCCAATTTGTACATTATATTTTATTAACATTATAATTCAAAGTGTGTAGAAATTGTCATTTTAAAAACCTGACTTTACAGCAGGATGAATGTAATCAATGTCCCTGAATTATTTTAATTTAAAAAAAAATCAATTGCCATCAAGTCAGTTGCAACTTACAGCAACCTTAGGGGTAGACTAGAACTGCACTAAAAGGGGTTGAAAGCTGTAAATCATTACAGAAGCAGATTCTCACATCTTTCTCCTATAAAGTCACTGGTGGGTTCAAACTGCTGACCTCTTAGTTAACCAATGTGCTACCAAGTCTCCTTCAAAGAATTTTTCATGTAAAAAGTGTTGAACTGGCAAATGTTTTGTTTTATATATAAATACTTATAACACACATATAAAATTCAGGGCCTTTTTTTCCTTCCCCAAAGCCTGGAAGGATAGAACACAGAAATATATGATTAGACATCTGACAAAATTAATCTTCTGTGCAAAACAAGTATTTCTAACATTGATGAAAACTTTCTACAAAAGTATCTTTTGGAGGTTGTTGTTATTAGGTGCCATCAAGTCAGCTCTGACTCATCATGACCCAAAACAAGGGAATCAAACACTGCCCGGTCCTTGCCATCTTCATAATCGTTAAACTTGAGCCCATTGCTGATGCCACTGGGCCAATCCATCTCATTGAAAGTCTTCCTCATTTTTGCTAATCCTCTAGTTTACTAAGCAAGATGTCCTCCTACAGGTCCCAGAGGATAACATGTCTGAAGTATGAGAGACGAAGTCTCAACAACTTGGCTTCTAAGGAACATTCCAGCTGTACTTTTTTCAACCCAGATTTGTTTATTTTTCTGCCATTGCATGGTCCTTTTAATAGTCTTCTCCAACATCATAACTCAAATGTATCAATTCATCTATGGTATTTCTTTTTCATAATCCAACTTCCACATGTATATTGAGGTTATTGAACATACCATGGCTTGGGTCAGGCACATCTTAGTCCTCAAACTGGCATCTTTGTGCTTGAACAATTTTAAAGCGATCTTGTGCAGATTTGCCTAAGGCAATATGTTGTTTGATTTATTGACTGTTGCAACCGTGAGTGTTAATAATGGATCCAAGCAAAATTAAGTTTTTGAAAATTTCAATTTTTTTCTCAATTTATCATACTATTTATTGGTCCAGAAGCAAGGATTTTTGTTTTCTTTACAATGAGGTGTAATCCATACTGAAGGCTGTGGTCTTTGATCTTCAACAGTAAATATTTTAAGTCTTCTTCATTTTTAGTAAGCAAGGTTGTATCATCTGCATATCGCAGGTTGTTAATGAGTCTTCCTTCAATCCTGATGCCATGTTCTTCTTCATATAATCCAGTTTCTCAGATTATTTGCTCAGCATACACACTGAGTTAGTATGGTGAATTTGCTGTTGTTGTTAGGGGCCGTTGAGTCAGTACTGACCCATAGTGACCTAAGGCACAGCAGAACGAAACACTGCCTGATCCTGGGCCAACTTCACTAGTATTGCCACACTTGAGTCCATCAATGCTGCCACTTGGTCAATCCATCTCGTTGGTGGTCTTCTTCTTTTTCTCTGACCCACCACTTTACCAAACATGATATCCTTCTCCAGCGACTGGTCCCTCCTGACAATATGCTCCAAGTATGAGTTTGGTCACCTTGGCCTATAAGGAGCACTCTGGATGCACTTCTTCCAAAATGGATATATTGGTTCTTTTGCCAGCCCATGGCACTTTCAATATTCTCATCCAACTCCATAACTCAAACTCATCAATTCTTCTACGGTATTCCTTATTCACTGTCCAGCTTTCGCATGCATATGAGGTTACTGAAAATACCATGGCTTGGGTCAGCCGTACCTTAGTCCTCAAGCTGACATCTTTGTTCTTCAACACTTTAAAAAGGTCTTGTGCAGAAGATTTGCTTAATGCAATATGTCATTTGATCTCTTGACTGTTGCTTCCGTGAGTGTTGATAGTTGATCCAAGAAGAATGAAGTCCTTGACAACTTCAATCTTTTCTCCGTTGATAAGAATGTTGTTTATTGGTCCAGTGGTGAGGATTTGTGTTTTATTTACACTGAGATGCAATCCAGTGAAATAGTACAGCCTTTTTGCATACCTTTTAATTTTAAACCATTCAGTATCCTTTTGTTCTGTTTGAATGATTGTCTCTTGGTCTATGTACAGGTTCTTCATGAGAACAACTGAGTGTTCTAGAATACCCAATTTTCACAATGTTATCCATTGTTCATTTGGGACTACTTATTAGAAATTTAGATTTCTGAGATACCTGAGCTTCTGTAACAAAATTTCTATGAATGAGCTTAAAAATCCACATCCTAATGAAATTCCCAATTGACTGTTTTAAACCACTGTTCTAGGTAATACTCATATATCTTCTTGTTTTCCTTTCAACCTTGCAGTTCTTACTTCTTTCAGAACTAATATTAGATGCAGCAAACGGCATTATACTTTTATAAGCTCACTATGCATTATATTATTTTACTTCAATGAAACATTTGCATATACTTCTAGCTACTTTCTTAAAGGAGCTCTGGTAGGGTAATGGTTACGAATCAGGCTGCGAACCTCATGGTCAGCAGTTCGAAACTACCAACTGTTCTGTGGGAGAAAGATGAAGCTTTCTGCTCCTGTAAAGATTGACAGCCTCGGAAACCCTGTTCAGGGTCGCTATTATGAGTCGGAACCGACTCCACGGCACATCACAACAACAACTAGCTACTTTCTTACTAGCTTGCATTTGCCTCACCACCAAGCCCTTTTAAAAACTACATCTATAATCAAGTATCTGTCCAGATGACTGTAGCTTAAATACAATTAGTATAATTTCAGCAAGAGCATCTGTGGGGTTTTTTTGGTTTTTGTTTTGGTATTTATATTTTTATAAGCTTTATCTTAAAGAAGTAGATAGGTATGGTGCACACAACTAGGAAAAGACTCTTAAAAATTAGTTGAAAGCTAAATATTGCTAGATGAATTTTTAATCTTAAAATAGGCCAATTTCATTGGTTTCAAAAAGCGAGACCCTCATCCACAAATGATGGCCAATCAACCTCAGCCTACACTGAGTTAAACACAGACTGTGTAAACAAAAACTGACTCTCAGGTGAAAACAAACCAGAATTATTACCCACCTACAGACTGTTCCTAAGTTACCACATTCAGATGAAAACCATAGGAGGGAAATGTCTTTTTGTTTAGAAAGAATGAGGGGGAAAATGGAAACCCTTACTTTTTGAAACGAACCGCAACCTTTCAGAAATCTACGCTTTACATGGGTTACCTAATTATATGCTGTTCAGCCTAATGACTGTGTGAAGAGAGGTGAACAACACAAAGGCGGCAGGAGCAGGACATTGAATAGGGCCCTATCATCCATGTAAATTGCAAATTAGAGGCCGGCATATGTGACTCAAAACAAATATTAAGATTGACATGAGGTGTAAATTCAAACAGAGCCACACAAGAGAAAAGGATGGAAGCCTGGTTACTAGTCAGATATTGTGGATATTCTACTTGGGGATATTCACGGGAAAGGGGGCTTATGTTGGGAGACTTAAGAAGTCCCTGATTTACACAATCTGCAAGGGTGTCTGAACATACATGGCATAGCAACATGGCTTAGGTTTGAAGCTCATCTGACATTTCTTAATAAGTATTATGTATTTATTTGATCCTGATGCCTGTCAAAACCAAAGCACAGTGAAAACATGACGCAGTAGGGAAGGTCAAAGAACCGAACAAAAGAAAACAAGGGGAAAAAAAAATCCTATTTC